AATGTGTTAAATGTATTTTAAGCCCACTGTAATTAATTATACATTATTCTTTTTGTCCACATTGACCGTTACTAAATTAAAATTTCATACTTCCAAAATTAGCACCTGAAAACAATGCATGTAAAAACTTAGCCTATTGTCGCTATTTGTTATTTATTGTGATTTATTTCGTAATTGCCAGCTGTAGATAATGTACAGCCATGGAAATGTGTCCTTTATGTACAGTAAGCTGAACACTGCGGTATCTTTATGTATTAGGAATAGGTGCTAAATTGCAATAAGAGTGTATGCAGACGGTCAGATGGCACAGTGGTGCTGCTAATTAGTTTGGGCATGAGGGATCGCGAGTTCAGTTCTGAAATAAATTATATTCTCTTCTAGAAAATATTTTAGAATAAATTAGTTGGTATAGAAAAAGACAAAGAGAGTTTGTATGGAATGCATCTGATTCGTTATGAAATGAAACGGTTAAAATGAATAATATATTGTACTGTGCCAATAATTCTAAACTCAATAGTGCAGTGGATTTCATCTTCAGTATTTATGAGTCCCGAGATCGATTACCGATTGGATCAATTTTGAAATGATTTTGTCTTACGCCCGTATTCACGAACATTACTATGAGGTTTCACAGTGCGCGTAGACGCATAGGATCACACACGGACCAATCACAGTGCTCTATTCAACGCTGTGCATTCGATTTGCTACCTATGAGGCATTTAAAAAAAATCGCAATAGCGTTTGTCGCTACAGCGACATTCGAAACTACGTAGGAACTCCATTGAGTAGCTTGGTATTCTGTTTGGATATACCTAATACATATTTACCTACTCATAAAATTAAAAAGATGTGACAGACAAATAAATAAAAGCCATCACATTAGGTACATTATCTAATGTCAAAGTAGGTGTACTCGGAATATCCACACGATGAGTCGTAAGTTTATTTTAATCAAGTAAATGACAGTCACAGAGGAAATAGATTATTTATTCGAATAACTCGTCAAGTATAATGCTAAATAATTGCCGAAGCGCTGGTCACTTGACGTATGATTTCCGTTCAAGTTAATAACGTTATGTACTGACAAGCTATGTAGTGCCCGGCTATTACCGCAGTAGCTATGTCATCATGTAATTATTATTATTTATTCACCAACAGGTCAAGTAGTAAAAAATACGCCTGACGCACCAAAACTTTTTCATTTCCCCTTAATCCACAATTCAAATAATATTTTTAATCCCCTCACATTTTAGCTTCTAATTATAATGACCTAAGTAACACGAATCTCATACTTGGTGTAGAACTGTAGAATGTAGATTAAATAGTGAGGTATACTGGATCCTGATATAGGTTTCGAAGGGAAACTATAGGCCACACTCTCAAACAGCATTATGTATTGGACCTAAGCTTACTAAGGACTTACTAGATTACCATAGATTATAAAGATTTATAGAGAGTAGTGACGTAGATTATGAAGTGTAGTGTGACTTACTGTGAATCGGTTCAGCCCGGAGGCAAGAGTGGTAAAACGTGACAGTTGTAATCTAAAGTCTTTTTTTTGCTCCGGCGTTTTTATGTATGAAGTTACCTCGCTGTCTCAAGGGATTCGATTTTCGAGGCGGTCAAAAAGTACCTTAACTTCTTGTCCTGGTATTTCGTATCAACATTGTCCAACCACGGAGGTATAGTAAAACTATTTGGGCCCCAAAGTCGATCCCATTCATACTCTTTGCACATGTCAATTTGAGTAAACAACAAACAATCATCTAACTAATTAAGCGTTGTTTTGTCCGAATCACGCGTCACAGCCGACTGCGCGGGCGCCTTCCGCCTCTCACAATGGCCTGTGATTGTTGGTTGTGATGACAATCGATGGGTTTGGTTCTGGCCAAGGCGATTGATAGAGTGATTCAAAATACTTGAATGGGCCGGAAGTACCGGAAGTCCAAATATTGAAACGCTTTTTAGTGGATCTCTATTGCACATCTCTTTATAATCCGTTCATTCATACATACTTTTAGATTTTCTAAATTTAATATTAAGTAAGATTAGACACGTAACCACACTCATACACTAAAGTAAAGGTACTATGTATTTAATGAACTTAAGTAATTTTTAACTCTACATAGCTTAATAAAATCTAGGTACTTCTTGTCATGGATCTGCACAGATCGTTAGATAATAATGTATTTTTGTAGTAAAATAAGTGCATGTTTGTGCACAGATTTCAATCCGTTTGAAGTAAGGTAGAGTATTTATTAATTGTGCCAGGTAACAATATATATAACAGTGTATATAATTTCAGCTGCCTTATAAAAGTCTACACTCACAGAACTACCTGAACCTATCCTTTTTCCCTTGGGAATTACGCACACCATTCATTTCACCGGGAAACTCAATTTCTCTAACGATTACCGGCGTATCCCGAACTCGACTACAATGTACACCAATGGCACATCAAGGCAAATACTATGGCATCAATGTCGTTGTAATACGTGCTATTTTGCAACATAAATGTGCTGTCGACTGTACATTATGTACTTGTATCAACAACATTAATGCCCGTATTTACAAACATTACTGTGAGGCCTCATAATAGAGACTGAGTTTCTTGCGCTGCTTCTTCTCAGCACTGGCCCATTTATTGTCCTGAAGCAGTGGTAGGGTTAATACTGGGACGTGTAAAAGTGCTTTTTTAAAGCCTACTTGCATAATAAATGAGTTTTATGAGTTTTTATAATGCGTGTGGACGCACAGGGTGACACACGAACCAATCACAGAGCTCTATTCATCGCTGTGCGTTGGATTTGCTGCTTCACTTAAGCAAGCATCGTTTGTGAATACGGGCGTTAGACAGATTTTGTATGAGTTTTTATAATGCGTGTGGACGCACAGAATGACACATGAACCAATAACAGAGCTCTATTCAACGCTGTGCGTTCGATTTGCTGCTTCACTTAAGCAAGCATCGTTTGTGAATATGGGCGTTATACAGATTTTTTATGAGTATTTATAATGCGCGTGGACGCACAGAATGACACACGAACCAATAACAGAGCTCTATTCATCGCTGTGCGTTCGATTTGCTGCTTCACTTAAGCAAGCATCGTTTGTGAATATGGGCGTTATACAGATTTTTTATGAGTATTTATAATGCGCGTGGACGCACAGAATGACATATGAACCAATAACAGAGCTCTATTAATCGCTGTGCGTTCGATTTGCTGCTCCACTTAAGCAAGCATCGTTTGTAAATACGGGCGTTAGACACGCAGTTTATCCGGCAGGTGTATCCTGATCGACACCGATTACCATTAATGACATTCCTGGCACACATTCCTACGAGCAATTAACCTAGCACAAGATTAGTAAAGATTATGTTGTACGAGGGGCGGCTGAAAAGTTTTGAGCCTAAGTATCTTCAAGTGTTATTATTGACTCGGGCTAAATGACATTGGGAACTTTTTGCCCGACTTTTCGNAGGGAACGTATTGGCGATATTTTTCATACTCATTTGCACATTAAATAGGGGTGCGCGCGATGGGTGCCAAAAATGCTCACGCCGCTCGACAACCAGCGTCGAGTCACAACTTCGCAGGAGTTTTAGGACATCTTTGGCCATAATTCTAATATTTTTTTTTTCTCACATTGCCACTATTGATAAGTAATAGATCCGGCAGTATGATGTAGAGTCAAAATAAGAGTCAATGCAATGGATTTAAAAGGGAAAACGCCGCCGCGGAAATTCAAAGTGGAGCGATCGACACCCAAGCTCATAGCCACTATTTTTGGGATTGTGGAGGAATTTTATTCATTGACTACATATGTAAAAAAAACTACATTAAACGGAGATTATTATGCTGTACTGTTGATAAGAGTGCGTCAAGTGGTTGTTGAAATATTGAGAGGCAAACTGGCGAAAGGAAATCTGTTATTGCAAGATAATTCGCCCGCGTACATCGCGCATGTTGCATCGCTTGCCTCGGGTAAAATTAGTGTTCAGGAAATTAATCACCCACTACACAGTTTAGTCCGAATCCCTAACTATTTTGTCTAATTCTAAAATTGGAAAAAAGACCTTCAGGAACGAAGATTTTTGAGCGACAAAGAAATGGAGGCGGTGTTAAAGGCTCATTTCGAAGGCAAAGATTGCAAATTTTTTTTCAGTGGGTTAAAAGCTCTTTTACACAAATGTAAGAAGTGCGTTATAGTAGAGGGAGATAAAGTAGGAAAATATATTTTTTATACTTTTCTATCGGCATTTTTAATACCCTAGGCTCAAAACTTTTCAGCCGCCCCTCGTACTATACCGACATGCAGATTAGACTTCTGCTCTACTTAGGTATAAGGTATACTTAACCGTTCGCGATAAGTTTGCCGCTGGCGATATGACATCACTCGAAGGAAAGCGTCTATAACTATAGCAAACTATATTGAAAATATTTTTTATTTATTAATATTGATAAAAATTGTGTATTTGCGTAAAATAAAACACTTAATTACGTTTAATCGCGGTTGGAGGAGGGGGCGCGCATTCACGGACCGGCAAACTTAGCGCGAACGGGTAGTAGTTACGGTTAAATTCAGCCTAAGAGTGAACGCTTACAGACTTCTATTTGAGTAGGCATTTTTGTTAGAATTTCTTATTATGCTAGGTATCAAAATTTCCACCGTGACAAAGAGTTTTTGTGACTCATCCGTAATCATAGCGCCATATGCTAGGTATCAAAATTTGTTGATGAAGTACAAAAGTTTTTGTAATTCATCCGTAATCATTGCGTCTGAAACTGTGCCATAAAATCCGAAAATAAATACAAAAAGGTTATCGTTGTTGTGACCATGAAAGATTGAAATGCTGCAGTGCAAAGTGGGTATTAATCGTTTAAATAAATTAAAACTAGGTTATCACTATTTTCAGACCCAGCCACTCTACATAAAACTCATTCTATTTTGCAAGTAGGCTTTTAAAAAGCACTTACACGTCCCAGTATTAACCCTACCACAACTTCGGGGCAATGAATGGACCAGTGCTGAGAAGATGCAGCGCAAGAAACTCAGTCACAGAAGGTGAAGTCTATAAAAGTTTAAAAAAAGTTTTGAATCTTTTCACCTTAAGAACTCGGTTGAATGTGTGCAATATATGATTCATAGCTCGTCTCGCAGGGCTTGTATCGCGGTCGGAGATTTGTGGAATAATCTCCGGCTAAAATATGTAAGATAAGGAAGGCCTTTGTTACGCCATTGAGATAAAACGAATGATGACCCAAAAAAAGTAATTTATTGCGTCAAGAGGTTGCGTTAAATCAAATAATGTAACATACCTATATCCCATTTTTAAGTGAACTATGTACCTACAATCGGCGTCAAATACCTAGTTATCAAATTTGATAACACAACCTTATTCCAAATGTACTTCGGGTGTCACGAACTATTTAATACTGACTGTACTGTTTGAGTTCTTATGAGAATACATAAAAAGGGGATTCTTAATGTACCTGAGATACTATAATTTCGATATTAACAGTATTTGGTCTATGTGTGTGATTCGTATGCTTCAAAGTGTAAGAGTTTTGGGTCTATTTTTGAAACGAATCTTAACAAATTTCAGTTGTATATTTACCGAGTAATATTGACCGAAAACAAACGCTCAATGTTACTCGTATTAATGATCCACACCATTAACCGAATAACCAACGTTAGCATACATTAGAGTGCAGCATCACCCCACGGTCACCTGCGCTTGACCGGCAGATAATGCGTTTCCGGCGGAAGTGCCGCCATGTTGATCTGGCATTGTGCGCGCGCATGATCGATGTTACACAATCGATATGGTCACCTACGGTAGTTTTGTTTCAAGGTTATTGTTTCGGTTCTGGAGCATTCCAATTTTTATAGTCCAAAAATACGATGGAGCTAGCTACGCTCGGAGATTTCTCTACATGATCGAATCAGATATGAGATTCGTAGGAGAACCAAAGTCACTGATATAGCCCAGAGAATTGCTTAAATTACTAGCAGTGGGCGAAGTACATAGATCGCAGATCTAATAGCCGATAGGGCCAGAAAAGTTCTCGAGTGGCGACCACGGGTTGGTAAACGTAGTGTAGGCAGCCCTCCACTCGGTGGATCGAAAATCTGGTAAAGGTCGCGGGAAGCACCTGGATACAAGCAGAGCGTAGGACCAGTCTTAACAAGTCAAAAATGTTATTTATTCTAAAAAGCGCTTTTACAAGTCGTTGTTGTCCAGTGGTTGACATAATTCGGTTGAAACCACGAATCAAAAAATATCTAAAAGTTAAATCCCTTCCAGCAATGGGTTCCGGGGCATCAGCAGTGGCTGGCGAGGTCCCCGGCACAGATCTCCGGTTGCCAACCACCGGGCTGAAGTTCACCGCCAACCAGCTCCGAGCCCTCAACTCTTATGTGGACGCGCTGAATGAGGATGACCAGAAAGGTACGATAAAGAGCTAGTTACGATTCAATATTTAAAGATAAGTCTTGAAAATAAAGGGTTTATGGGTTTTTGAAGTGGCGGGAACTAGGGATAGTCTGTTGACTGTCAATCACACCGAACTGAAGTTGATCAGAAATATTATTAACATTCAAAGTATGAAGGCAAATGTTACAAAAACGATTAATTATCATTGAATCCAAGTATGACGACGATGGAGGGATTGCTCCAGAAGTCTTTTACTTTTTTGACCATCTATGTATAGGGCACGAAACGTCAAATTGGCTTTCGACTTTATGAAAAGTAAATAAGCTCCAAAATATGATGGCTATATTTCTGCCACTACTAATGGATTAATGTTGTTCTTTGTATCCAGGCCGGATGACGACTGAGATGGAAGGTGCAGTGGAGGGATTGGTCCAGAGGATCGTGGACGGAGCAGGCCAGAGGGACCCTCGCTTTAGGTGCTGCCATCTTATAGCTTTGCACAGAGGGAAGAAGGTATGATCGGTTTCTTTGTTACATTAAAAGTTGAGAGTCAAGTAAATGTGTCAATAAAGTTAATTCTATTTCAAGCTTTGCAAAGTTAGGTATTTATAGCATATTGATTTGGATATTATATGAAGCACAGTTCACACTTGGGAAAAGAAAAACTAATTTTATTTCAAATATTTAGACACGGTAGAGCTAGAAAGATTTACATAGTTCTTGAATTTCTTGTGGGGTTCTTTTGAATAGATTGCTAACTGAGTCGAAGCATCGAAGGGTAGGTGAAGAATATAGTTAGATTAAGATTTAAAGAACATTCATATTAAACGACAAGTAAATCTATATATATAAAAGAAAGTCGTGTTAGTTACTCCACTTATAACTCAAGAACGGCTGAACCGATTTAGCTGAAAATTGTCAGGGAGGTAGTTTAGAGCCAGGAGAAGGACATAGGATACTTTTTATCCCGTTCGAAATTAAAAAAAAGTCTGCTTATTTATTGCCATTAAGGCGGAACAAAGTTCGCCGGGTTAGCTAGTAATGATTATAACATGGAATGCTATCTTATTAAGGCTGAGTTGCACTACCTAACTTTGACCGTAACTATAACGATAACCGGTGTTCTTTGTATGGAGTTTGACAGATTTTTTAAAATAAGTTAAAGTCAAAGTAAGATGGTGCAACCCAGCCTTAGAATCTAAAATGTGTCCGTACGGGACGTCACATATTTATTTTAACAAGCAAACAACACATTTACCTAAATAAATGAGTAAAATTGATGAAAATGTTCACTAACTCAATATCTCTAATGAAATGGCTCCAGATTCAGCTAAAAAAACATTTTCTCTGCTCGTAAAAGTTTCGGTTGACAAGTGCTACGACAACCCGGCAATGAGAAAGTTTTATTGACCCTGGTTTTATTGCCGGAGCGAAACCACAGGATTTGAATAATGGCTCTAAAGTTGTCAGATGACTTTGGGAATAAATTGAGAAGTGTTACATTGATAAAATTAGTCCAGGGAATGAAACGAATGATTTTAAATGAATTTTAAAAAGTTTTCAGTGATTATAAGTAGGTAAAAATAAGCAAAAAAACTAACTGCGTAAAATAGAACGAATGATGAGATTAAAACAAGACAACTCAGCCTTAGTGTTCACAAATGCAGTCGGAGGCCTCAATGACAATTCTTTTGTTGGTGATATGTATTTGATGCCTCCGACTGCATTTGTGAACACTAATGCTGAGTTGTCTTGTTTTTTATCTTTTTAGTTCATTTTTACGCAGTTGGGTTTTTTGTTTATTTAATAATAAATTTTATTTTAATCTTTTTAGTTAAATAACATTAATTAATATGTACATTTTTGTAAATTATTAAATAATACTAGTGCTGAATATCTCCGTAAAATGTTCCTGACAAATAAACAGCATCATCTGCGTCATCAGATGCGTTCCCGCTCCCTGGAATACCTGGTGACCCTGGATTCCCTGCCCGTCCTGAACAGCGGCGACAACTGCCGCCTGCAGGACGGGCCCCTGGGGTACGGGAAGATCAGGCTGGCTGGCAGGGACGCTGATAAATGGGAGGAGTTCATGACACCTTCTGGGTATCTGTGCAGGTAAGAAAATGGTTTTAGAGGAGAGTAAAATGGGTTTGTGGCTTGCTGAAAATACCACCACTTATTGGCTTATTTCATAAACCCATAATGAAGAGGATGAGATGACTACCTTTCTCCTCCCTTCATTATCCTTGACTGTGAGTTTAAGGGTCTCCCTCGCCACTCAGCGACGGTCATCAAAAACCTTTAAAGGCTGGTTTAATAAAGTCCAGAGCCTCTTATCTGGACTAGAGCTTCTGCCTCTTACGGTCCTAGGTTCCTTTTAATTACCGTTCATGGTGATAATATTGGAATTTGGAACCTTTCGGAGGTGTAAGGAGTCCAGGCCCTTAATTTATTGGCATAACGATTGATGATAACCATCTTCCACATTTGTCAGTCAGAATCAAAGTGCTCCAAGTTAGGTGGAGTAACGAGCTAGTTGTCCAGAATCAGGTGGTTCAGCAGGATCTACATGGTTTTACAATGTCTGACGTAATCAAGCCAAGTTTACGGCTGTATTTACAAACGATGCTTGCTTAAGTGAAGCAGCAAATCGAACGCACAGCGTTGAATAGAGCTCTGTGATTGGTTCGTGTGTCACCCTGTGCGTCCTCGCGCACTGTGAGACCTAATAGTAATGTTTGTGAATGCGGGCGATAGTGTTATAACGAAATTAATTTGTCGGTCAGAGACAAAGTGGTGGAGCGCTGGGTGGAATTGGTGGCGCGCTGTGCGCAGGCGCGCGGGGGTGGGGGCGCGCGGGTGCTGTGCGCGCGCGCCGCCGCCCGCGCCCGCCCCTACCACTACTGCTACCTGGAGCGGGGTGAGTGTGCTGTGACGTCAGAGATGGGTGGCGTGTACTGTGACGTCAGGGACAGGTGGCGGAGCACTGAGGGAGCTGGTGAAGCGGTGTGTGCAGGCGTCTGCTTCTACCACTACTGCTACCTGGAGCGGGGTGAGTGTGACGTCAGAGACAGGTGGTGGAGCGCAGGGTGGAGCTGGTGGCGCGCTGTGCGCAGGCGCGCGGGTGCTGTGCGCGCGCGCCGCCGCCCGCCCCCGCCCCTACCATTACTGCTACCTGGAGCGGGGTGAGTGTGACGTCAGGACAGGTGGTGGAGCGCTGGGTGGAGCTGGTGGCGCGCTGTGCGCAGGCGCGCGGGTGCTGTGCGCGCGCGCCGCCGCCCGCGCCCGCCCCTACCACTACTGCTACCTGGAGCGGGGTGAGTGTGACGTCAGAGACAGCTGGTGGAGCGCTGGGTGGAGCTGGTGGCGCGCTGTGCGCATGCGCGCGGGTGCAGTGCGCGCGCGCCGCCGCCCGCGCCCGCCCCTACCACTACTGCTACCTGGAGCGGGGTGAGTGTGACGTCAGAGACAGCTGGTGGAGCGCTGGGTGGAGCTGGTGGCGCGCTGTGCGCATGCGCGCGGGTGCAGTGCGCGCGCGCCGCCGCCCGCGCCCGCCCCTACCACTACTGCTACCTGGAGCGGGGTGAGTATACTAGTGTACTGTGACGTCAGAGACAGGTGGCAAAAATTTTGGAATGTTAGGTTTTCGCAAAGTAGGTTGTTGCAAAGTTAGGTTTTCGTAAAGTTAATTTTTCGGAAAGTTAGATTTTCGTAAGTTAGGTTTTTGAAAAGTTAGGTTTTCACGAAGTTAGGTTTTCGTAAGTTACGTTTTTGTAAAGTTAGGTTTTCGTAAAGTTAGGGTTTCGGAAAGATAGGTTTTCGAAAAGTTAGGTTTTTGTAAAATTAGGGTTTCGGAAAGATAGGTTTTCGAAAAGTTAGGTTTTTGTAAAATTAGGTTTTCGTAATGATTGCAATATCAATTAAAAACAAACATTCTTGGAATCATTTCCTAATAACTTTATTAAATTGTTAAGTATTGAAATGTGTTTTTTAAAATGTGTAACAAATAAATATATTTTCTTTCTTTCTCAAAAGAAGAATTTTCAATCATAAATGAACTAGTTTTTTACGCATTGAGATGATACAACTAGCGGCAGCTAGTTATACAGCCTTTGTACAGCTCAGCGCCACAGTAGAGCTTGTTAGGCGGCGGAAACTTGCCGGGCTCTGACGAACTTCTCCTTACACTTGCTGGTTGACGCTGTACAGCTGCTATAGCATGATATAGCGTAGAATGTTATGTTGACAACTATCATCTGCATTTGCTATATTATGCAGTCATAGCTCTTGTTTTGTAGAGTTGATAACGTAGTGGTTTAGAATGTTCGTATTTTTTAAAAAGTCTGTGAATTTAGATTACCGACTAAATAAACATCAATATTTTTCAATACATTATTTTATTCAAGTTTATGACAAAATTACTGAAAAATATGACTCCAGTTGTCTTTATTAGTAAATGCATTGGACGTTCTGACTAATACTTGTAATGGTCTGTTCCAAAAGTCCCAAATCCTAATGGACTCAAGTAAGCATCTTTCTCAGTACAGAAAAAATTTCAAAAGATGAATAATAACAGCAAGTAAACATATTTTGTGTGAGTTCCTCGGATGAATAGGTTTGTATCTCTTAAATCAAATATATACATAGAGTGTTAAAATAGATGCCTTGAGGCGGTTCAGTTTGAAACAGGGATGTAACAGACATTTTTGTCCATTTTTGGATTTAATAACATGTAGTAACATACGACAATGTTTCTGACGCATATTATTGTGAACTGTGGGAAATCTGGGAACTCGTTAAAGTTGGACAGTTGATGACAGTTCATTATGTCCCAGTTACGCCGCTTGTTGAACTTACTGTGACATGTTATTGTAGTTTTGCACAACTTTTCAATTTGCTCTGAGCGATTGTAGCGAAGATAACTTTTTGATACGATCCACAATGTAAATATTATTTCAACAAATACAATAGACGGCAGTGACGGGACCCTCTGGGTGGGTGAGTAAACGAGACGTTTCTGAACTTATATTTCTGACTTGTAAGTACTTGTATTAATGATTCTCGACTAACCAAGNGGGTGGCGTGTACTGTGACGTCAGAGACTGGTGGCGGAGCACTGAGGGAGCTGGTGAAGCGGTGTGTGCAGGCGCCTGCTTCTACCACTACTGCTACCTGGAGCGGGGTGAGTGTGACGTCAGAGACAGGTGGTGTCATAACCAGCTCTTGATTCGTAGAGTTGATAACGCAGAGGTTTGGTAAAATAATCGTATTATCAAAACCTCTGTCAATTTAGATATTTACCAAATAACTAAATGTAAATATTTTTCAGTGTAAGTCTTTATTAAAACGGCGAAATCATTAAATAAGTTACCTAAGGCGTCTTTTTGTAAACGTATTATACCGAATAAAATAACGTTCTAACTAGTTATTTGTAATGTGTCTGTCCCAATAGTCTTAAGTCAGTCATCTTTCTCACACTTCAAAAGATATTATGTAATAACAGCGAGATAGGTAGGAATAACCGGCGATTATTAATAATTTTCAATTTATCGCATTTACCTTAACATATACAAAGATATTTTGTGTGAGCTCTTCGGATGAATAGGTTTGTATCTCTTACAAATACACATAGTGTGTTAAAATAGATGCCTTGAGGAGGTTTAGTATGATACAGCGATATTAACAGACTCAAAGTAGAATATATTTTTGGATTTAGTAACAAGTATTTATACGACACTGTTCCCGACGCATATTATTACGAACTGTGGGAAATCTGGAAGCTCGTTAAAGTTGGACAGTTCATTATGTCCCAGTTACGCCGCTTGTTGAACTTGCTGTCACCTGTTATTGTAGTTTTGCACAACTTTTTAATTTTCGCTGAGCAATTGTAGCGAGGAAAACTTTTTGATACGATCCACAATGTAAATATTATTTCAACAAATACAATAGACGGCAGTGACGGGACCCTCTGGGTGGGTAAACGAGACGTTTCTGAACTTATATTTCTGAGTTGTAAGTACTTGTATTAATGATTCTCGACTCTCGAGTAACCAAGGCATCATTAGGTAGGACACTGTCTACCCTTTTAGAGTAAGATTACAAGAAGAAATAAGAACGAGGCGATATTTAAAATAGGTTGCTTCAGACCAAAAAACCAAAAGCTTGACCAGGTACTTTTGAAGATGTAAAAGATTTTCTAACCGACCTTTTTTCTTTGTGCTCCAGTGTAAACGGTGATGTTAAAATTTCAACAAAGTTTTTGGTGTTATCTTTAAAGACATATTTATTTCCCTAGCAACCACCACCCAGACTAGTTCCGATCGCCGACTGGCCATAGTAGAGGGAGCAGCTTGGGTGATGGTACGGGTGGGTGGAGGTCAGGCTGAAGCCAAGCTGGTGCTCGGAGCCAGGGTGGAAGGCTGCAACGCCGCGGCTTACACCACCAGGGTGCCGTTAACGCATCCGCTGGCTATGCTGCACTATACTAGCGCTCAAGGGGTAAGGTTTTTTGACTTTAGCATCCTTCTTATTTTCCTCATCCTCCTCTTCTTCTAGTATCCTCATTTTTGCTGCTCCGCTCTCGATCAAAAACCGAAATCAATACTAGCAGCTAAAGTTGACTCATGAGTGAGTTGACCTTAGTAGCTACTCCTGAATTTACTACTCCATGTATTTTTTTTATGTATGAGACTTAGTCTTCATACCGCTCATTGGCATTCATAATTTCAGTGGGGTTGTCTTTTAAGAGAGTAATTGGAGAATGCTGTTTCATTAATTCTCTTTTCACTTCTGTTGTTTAATACTTGATACTTTTAAGTGGTTTTCCCATGCCTCCCAAGGTGTTGACACCAGCATGATGTATGTGTAATAATGAAATGCGCACTTAAGACATTATCGTATGGCATCCATAATATTAAAGTCTATAACATCCAGGGTTACTACGCAGCGGCGGTAGGCCCACCATCCTCGGTGGTGTGCGGTGAGCGGTCAGCCACCTGGCAGCTGTGGCACCCTGCATTGGAAGCGACCCTGGACGCGCACTGCTCAGACCAGTCCACTGTAGCCAGGATCGCTGGGGCCTTGAACGCGCTTATTGACAAGATGAGAGAAGGAGTGTATCAGGTATCTACTGAGTCTATTCATCCAGAGTTATTAGTAGCAGTGGGTTAGCTTTTCTCAGTAGTGTGCGGTGAGCGATCAGCGACCTGGCAGCTATGGCACCCGGCTCTGGAAGCGACCCTGGACGCGCACTGCTCAGACCAATCCACTGTAGCCAGGATCGCTGGGGCCTTGAGCGCGCTTATTGACAAGATGAGGGAGGGAGTGTATCAGGTATCTATGGAATCTATTCATCTAGGGTTCCTACGCAGCAGCAGTAGGCCCGCTTTCCTCGGTGGTGTGCGTCGAGCGCTCAGCAATCTGGCAGCTGTGGCATCCAGCATTGGAAGCGAAACTGGATGCGCACTGTAGCCAGGATCGCGGGTGCCTTGAACGCGTTCATTGATAAGATGAGGGAGGGGATTTATCAAGTATGTGTAGCCGTCAATAGGAGGTTCAGGTAGCTAGGGACGTTTAACGCGGACGAATGCTTATGGAAAAACGCCGATAGTGATGTGCCGCGTTCCCGAATCATATGGCTTACCGAGGGTAACGTCAGGTTTTTTGTGGACAGGTCCTGCCCTTCTGGCAGGGAGAACTCCACATAATAACCCACTAGCTGCTCCTGCGGTTGGTGGGTATAAAAATTTGTGTATTTTTCTGACGAAAAAAAATGTGTTCAGAAAGTTTTAAAACAGCGACTAGGCCCCCTGTCTCCGGTGGCCCAGCTATTCCTGGCTACGGAAGCGGTCAGGGTGACAGCGGGGCGGTGGGTGCTAAAAACACATGTCACTGGATAATTTTTACCTATCACTACAGTGTTGAAAAGAAGCTGGGGCTAGAAACTCAGTCACTATGCGAGTATACCGGTACATGGACCACTATGCCAGACATAGCAACTTATGATGACAGTGAACATATTATGTATTTGTCCTCCCCAGGGCACACTTCGCGTAGTAAGCCGCTACATGGCTATGTGCGCTCTACGAAGGCGCGCACACCGATGCGCCGCGTATGCGCAAACGCATGCACGTGTGTGCGTGTCAGCGCACGCGCCGCACCACCTGCTGCTCATACTGGATGAGTGAGTTTTAATTTTGAACAGATTGAAAACATTTTATTTGAGCAACTGTAAAAGGGAAACCATTTCAATGTTGATTCCTTTGTAAGAAACTTCTACGGTAAATAATTTAGATTTTTAGAAAATAAAAATCCTTTTCCGGCTCAGCGTTTTGTATAATTATGTCTTTAAAATATGCACTACCTACTAGTACTAGTCCCCTACTCGTAATACTTTGCTTAGTTTTGCATTGCAACCTTGGAAATAGACTCCTGGTGGCTGATATAGATTTTAGATAGCTCTGATTTAGACTATAAGCATCTATAAGGCTCGGCGCAAATGGGCCACCGACCACAGCCACCGGTGGCCAGCGACGGCGACGCGACTCACCACTATACAAAAAGTGTAGTGACGAGTCGCGGACACTGCTGTAGCGAGTGGCCGTCACCCGATACACGTGTGCGCGTGATGCGTCTATTATACAAAATTTAAAAAGTGTGTTAAGTCGCCGTCGCTGGCCACCGTTGGCTGTGGTCGGTGGCCCATTTGCGCCGACACTAATAATCGCTGGAGTTTTAAACCGCTGGCTAGTACTGATTTAGAACAAAATCGCTGGAAGTTTTTTTTTATCCACAACGAGGAAGCTCTTGGCCTGTATCTCACCTGATGGTAAGTGATGATCAGGCCGAAGGTGGAAGCGAGCTTCACCCGGAATCCTCAACTATGGAGGAACTGGCTATCTTACCTCTTACCTACTGCCGGAACACAACATGCTGTTAACATTGTTGTTATGGCGACAGACTTAGGTAAGATGGTGGTAGCTAGCCAGGCGGACTTAGAACAAGCCCTAACCACCAACCAAACCGAACAGAAAAATCTGCCCACTGGGAATTGAACCCGGGACCTCTGCGTCTGAAGCAGGTGGTCTTACTCTAGACCACAGAGGCGGTTAAACCATTAAAGGTTTAGGCGGTTAAAGTTCGTTCGTTCGTTCGTTTCAGCCGAAAGACGTCCACTGCTGGACAAAGGCCTCCCCCAAGGATTTCCACAAAGACCGGTCCTGCGCCGGTTGCATCCAGGTACCTCCCGCGACCTTACACGCTGCCTGCCTCAGGTTAAAGTTCACCATCTCTAATATGGTCGAGTGAAGCGATGGCTGGTTCACTCGTCATGTCTGTGAACAGGCGCTGCTTTCGGGGACTGGTCAATCCAAGTTATTCCAATTCATGTATGCGAGTCATTTCTACTAGTATTTAACTAGTAATTTGTAAGTCTAGATATTAGCACGTCACTACCTTGTTTAATATACCACGCAATATTGTATACCCATTATACACTATACAAGAATGCATGGTAAATTCAGTGAACTGCTCCTGAATCGACTACTGCTATTTTCTATTTATTTATATTAACCGGCAGACAGTGGTGACTGAGTTTTTTGCGGCGCTTCTTCGCAGCACTTGCCAAATGTTGGTCTCGAAGCGCTGGTAGGGTAAAAAGATTATGAGACATGTAGAGGCTCCTTAAGAGCAAAATGACGATTTGTAAGAACTATTTATTAGTCTAAACAATTATAAAGAAATTTTGACTTTGACTTTGACATCCCTCCATTGTAGACTAGTGTCAATCTGCCTCCGCGGCGGCGTGGCTGGTTACGTATGCGGGGTGGAGCGGGGCGCGGTGGTGCGGCGCGGGGGGCGCGACGCCGAGTGGGGCTCCGACGCTGCGTGCCTCAGGAACTGTCTGCTGCACCTTCAGAGGGCTACAGGTTTGCTAATCTTAAGAGTAGGCGCACACCGTTGATTTTTCGTCGGCCGATAGTTTAGTCGGACAGGTAATTGATCAGTATGGGCATGTATGGGAGTGCGCACACTACGCCGATTCGATTTGGCCGATTCTTTATACAGTTTATAAAATCGGGCACAACTATCGGCCAACTAAAAATCAACGGTGTGCGCCTACTCTTATAGTGTAAATAGCTTCTTAAACCATAACGGGGGAACCTTGGCCTGCATCTCACCAAATGAAAAGAGATGATCAGCCCCTTAACTACCTTCTTCTTCAGTGCCTTTACCCTTTTTTTAGGATCAGCCCTTTTTTTAAAGGAAGCCCGCAGTTATTCCTCCGTGAAATATTCTCCCTGAATAGATTGTGGCAGCCAGCGGGCTATACATTAACATGACTGCTGTAACAATTTTTGCTTTTCGAAACTTTGGAGAAGCGTTATAACCTTTTTTGTAGACCGAGGGATGAATGATTTTAAATTAGTGAGTAAGAAACATCTTTTCCCTTTCATATAGTGAATGATAATTCTATTAAATATCAGGCACCGAAGAGATACCGCCGACGCCATCGGAGTCCCTAGAAACCGTCCTCTTCAGCCGTTGGGAGAGTCTCAACCGAGAGATGAAGGCAGGCTCCGGTCCAGCGTACTCCAGGAGACAGCTGCGATACTTGTGGCGAGTGGCCAACGAGCTGGTGCGGTGCAAGAACATGGTGGTTTGTGTAAGTTCTAAGATACAACATCTGGTATGTCCCAGCTCTTGATGGCTATTTAGCTTAGAGGGTTCGAGTACAGGTAAGTATCACCAAGATATTCCATATTCTCTATAGGGTTCTCTTCAGACACTGAGAGAGTATCAACAGAGAGATGAAGGCTGGCTCCGGGTCCAGCGTACTCCAGGAGACAGCTGCGGTACCTATGGCGAGTGGCCAACGAACTAGTCCGGTGCAAGAACATGGTGGTTTGTGTAAGTTCCTAGGTACAATATTTGGCATGACACAGTCTAAATAAGGCTACCAGTTTTGTTCGGGTATCAGTTTACTTCGCAAAGAACGGAATCCCTGAAGACAGTTCTCTTCAGCCGCTGGTATAGCCTCAACTGGGAGATGAAGGCGGGCTCCGGGTCAGCGTACTCCAGGAGACAGCTGCGATACTTGTGGCGAGTGGCCAACGAGCTGGTGCGCTGCAAGAACATGGTGGTTTGTGTAAGTTCCTAGGTACTATATCTGGCAAGACGCAGCCTGGATAAGGCTACCAGTCTGGTTTGGGTATCAGTTTACTTCGCAAAGAACGGAATCCCTGGAGACAGTTCTCTTCAGCCGCTGGTATAGCCTCAACTGGGAGATGAAGGCGGGCTCCGGGTCAGCGTACTCCATGAGACAGCTGCGATACTTGTGGCGAGTGGCCAACGAGCTGGTGCGCTGCAAGAACATGGTGGTTTGTGTAAGTTCTAAGATACAACATCTGGTATGTCCCAGCTCTTGATAGCTATTTGGCTTAGAGGGTTCGAGTACAGGTAAGTATTTATTTATTTAAAGACTTTATTGCACACACAACAATGTTCTGTACAAAAAGGCGAGCTTAATGCCATACGTCATCATCAGTATCATCAAGAGATTCCATAATCTCCAGAGGGTTCTATTCGGCCACTGAGAGAGTCTCAACAGAGAGATGAAGGCTGGCTCCAGGTTGGCGTACTCCAGGAGACAGCTGCGGTACTTGTGGCGAGTGGCCAACGAGCTGGTGCGCTGCAAGAACATGGTGGTTTGTGTAAGTTCCTAGGTACAATATTTGGCATGACACAGTCTAAATAAGGCTACCAGTTTTGTTCGGGTATCAGTTTACTTTGCAAAGAACGGAATCCCTGAAGACAGTTCTCTTCAGCCGCTGGTATAGCCTCAACTGGGAGATGAAGGCGGGCTCCGGGTCAGCGTACTCCAGGAGACAGCTGTGATACTTGTGGCGACTGGCCAATGAGCTGATGCGGTGCAAGAACATGGTGGTTTGCGTAAGTAACAAGGTGCAATATCTGGTATGAACCATTTCCCAATGGCATGGTGGTTTGGGTATAGGCAGTTCTTAATAGCCTGGTGGTTAGGACTACTTCACCAATAGATATTCCTGACTCCGTGGGAATCCCAGGAGATGGTCCTGTTCAGCCGTTGGGAGAACCAACAGGGAGATGAAGCCGGGTTTCGGTCCAAAGTACTACAGGAGACAGCTGCTGGTGGTTCGGATACAGTACGCATGTCTTCTATTTATTAGACTCGTGGATAGTCGTTGAGGAATAACTCCTTTTATTAATACCTTTCTCAAGACATTATGCCACAAATAATCATGATCCATCTCCAAATGTTTCAATGTATTTCCTTATTCCATGATATTCTCAATTATCAGGAAAGCCACAGCAACTTCCGCGCCAACCTGATCCAAGCAACGGCTCCGGGTGATGAGCCCATAGAGGAGCTGATTCACATCCTCGCCATCGCTCTGGACCAGGCTCGAGACCTTTACTTGAACACCTTACAATACAGAAGCTTGGGCGAGTTCGACAGGGAACTGTTTCAGTACAGGTACTATTTCTGCTGTTTGTTATATTCATCTCACCGTGACAGAAACATACTTCCGTGCTTCTGCATTAAAATTTATTGTAACAGCTCACAGGATGAGTTCTCATCTCATCATCTCAGTCCATGCCTATATTTCTCTCTGAAGATTAGTTTTACCTTGGTTTTTCATATTTCATCCGCTCAGCTCTAAAGGACATTTGGGAAGTCAATCCTTGACGGCGAACTCCTATTATTTCTGATTAACTGTTGCGGGTCCAACGTTAGTTTAACTTCCCATGGGACATGCTTGGCTTTCACTGGTTTTTATTGACGTAACATGAAGCTGTAGGTCCAGAGAAGGGAACGAGAATAGTCCTAGGCAGGATATCTTGATGAGAGAGACCATTTGGCCTTTAAATTCGAGCCTGCTACCCCAACATTATGCAGGGTTGCGTACAATAAAAGCATCTGATATCAGATTAAACAAAATCAAAACCGCTAAGAAAGTTCCCTACAATTTTATAAGAGCTGAGGAAGCCAACAAAGAATAAACTTCCTTGCAAATCCACTTTATTCTTGAACTTACTTAATAAAAACTTTTCTAAATTGCATAATAAAAGTTCAACGCAGGCCGTTAGTGACCGTTATTTTCACATTTATGCCATAAGGTTCTGTACTATTATTATGGTTTTTAGAATACATGAGAAGTATCAACTGTAACGGTAAAAAGATCATGTAACCCTGAGGCACTACGATAGCAGAGATATACTTTTGTATTCAGGTTTACTTCTAAACAAAACAAAATATTCTTCAGTGTCCTGGGATACCTAATATTTAACCAAAATGCCATTATTTCAAGGTCAAAAAAGTGGAACAAGCTCAAAGAATACTATGACGCGTCATCAGCTTGCCTGATAGACGCGGTCCGAAGAGACCCCGACCTCCGAAGAGAAGACCTGAAAGACCCCCTCAACATCATGAAGAACATCCTCCACTGGCTACACAAAGGGGCGAAAGACGATAAAAAGTACTTGGGACCAGTTCTAAAGCCATATTTGGATGGTCTTTTCACAAGTTCTTTGGAGAACTCCTGGTTTTTGGAAGACTTTGACGCGAAATGCTGTGAGAAGGAGTTTGAGGGGCTGAAGGAGTATTGCGTGGGGGTACATGATGGGAATATTGAGCCATGTATGGGGTTGCTGGATGCAGCGAAGAGAATGGCGTGGGCTAAGGCAATGGTGGACTTTGTGGACCGGTTTCGGCATGTTGGTGAGTAGTCATTTGTTTTAATGGTTTTCTTCATTATACAACTAGATACATACATATTAACTCGTATTACGTGAACATGGTAAAAAGTACCGGTATAACTTTTCATGGTCATAATATTAAATACGCTATAATTTATAGGATACATTTAATCTAAATCTACATAGACAAGGTCACTGGCAAAAAACTGGTTCTTAAATAAATAAGCCCAAACCAATACAAACGAATATGTTCAATATTTGTATTGTGGGATCAAACCTTCGACCTTTGCCATAGTAATCCGGTAACCACCCGGTGACCCATCAGTCCAGTAAACAAATACTCTCACATTATAGAACCTCTTTTATTCCCAAACAATAGTAATAGGACCCGCATGTCACAACACCAGGGAACTACTACGAAACGCTGTATACTAGTTTCGGGTCTATCTGTCACTGTCGCTCATGCTGTCATCTCGCTTTGCGTGAAAGAGATGGCAACATTCGAAACTTCGGATAGCGTTTTTCGGAGTAACCTACAGAATACATGAGCATCAGCTATATTCCATCTAATGTAATTTGATAACCATCAATAGACCTATGGTATTGTGTGGGGGGTCAAAGGGTATGTATTAATAGCTATAATGTGATGATGTGGTATCAGCCTTCTTAATTAGTAGTATAATTACTCGCAATTGAAAGGCTTTGTATCTTTTAGTGGAATAATGGATGTTGGATATGGGGAATTCGGGGTAGACTCCAAATTTAGATTTCTATGAAAGTGACACATAAATGAACATAATTTTATACATACGAGTTTACTTTTTCAAATGAGTCATATTAAAAACACTCAACTTCAATCTTGTAACGATTATGAAATTGTACTTACTGTACTGGAGCGCCTAGTAATAAAAGAACTTTCTTGAAAAACCTAAACTTTAATTCAAATGCATTTTTCTATTCCCTTTTCGTTTCAGTCATTTTATGACAAGCCTATGGTAGACTCTCCAGCATAGGGGTTAATTTCGAAAACATTTTAAAATATTTTCTATATCCCTTTCCCACTTGAAAAGATTCCATAGTGAGTGACAGCGACGCATCCCAACTTCATCGAACTCGTTTTCCAGAGTAGGCCTTCTTCTAAATGGATCAACATTTCCACGAGTTTTGCATAATATGACGTTAACTTTTAAACTATAGCCAGTGTAAGTAGAGCTATGAGTATAGTTCGCGTGGAGTGATTTAGGGAAAGGCAGTGAAGTCGGCAGGTCAAGTGAGGCTGGTCAAAAGTTAATTCCGTTTGAGGCTGCGGTTTTAGACGTAGAGTCGCTGGACGTGATGGTGGATAGTTTTAAACGGACTTAAAATATTTTGGACATGCTTATTTTTGATAAAAATAATGGGATCGTATTAGTTTTTTGCTAATAAAGCGGCGCCACTTTGACATGAGATACATACTTTGATTTCTTTTCTATTAAACGTTTTGGGACTTACTGATTTGGTGAATCTCTCGCTTCAGCAAGCGAGAGTTTTTCCGTTTCTTATCAGAATTGTATGCCTATCCCCCGTCATGTTCCTTTCCTACGCGAAATTCGTAACAAAAATAATAGGGTAGACGAATGTTGGTAGGTATATTATAGTCCTTCACTTAGGCTGAGTTGCACCATCTTACTTTAACTTTAACAAACGTCAAAAATCTGTCAATCTCCATAAAAAAACACTGTTATAGTACAGTCAAAGTTAGGTGGTGCAACTCAGCCTTAACTTTAACTTATTAACGTTAACTATTTTATGGATCTTTGTTAAGGTTAGGCTGTCAAATCCAGTCACACTCTACATTGGTGCCTTAAAGTTGGTGAGTGTGGAGACCGGCGACTTGCAAATCTGTAAAATTTGATACAGTGTCCTGTCGGGCTCCCCTCTATCCTTTAGTTTATCCACTAGTTTTATACAAGTTTTGTTGGGTCTCATACAATTTTCATGGACGTAAAAAATTGCTTAAAGTTTTTGTGACAACCCAGAACAATCTTAATAAGGCCATAGACCACAAACTATAGGTACTTAAAAGAAAATGCTTCGTTCGTTCGTTCGTTTCAGCTAAATAACGCCCACAGCTGGTCAAAGGCCTCCCCTGAAGATATTTTCGTTATGGAAAATTCTTCATTAAAGTTGCAATTGAATCTTCAGTCGTTGGATTAAGACATTATTATGCGTGATTTAATAACTATTAAGACAAACTAACACGGTGGATTTCAGTTTATTAAAAAAATTCTAACCCTTTAAGCATCGCACTAAGTAAACAAGTTCTAACTAAAATACTAACGTTATTTTAGTCTTTAATTTCCGTTAGTGAGAGACCTAATCAAAAAGTAAATGAGATTCTAGAATGTCTGTAAGTTAATTAAGTTCATAGCTGAAGTAGAACGGTATGTATAGTATAGATACTCCGAAACGCTATACAGGGTGAAATTGAAATCTTTGGCATCCTTTTAAAACAAAACTCTCGTGATGAGATGAGACAAATCCAATGAGTGAAATTGCCACTAATTAAAAACTTTGTAACTACAACCGTTTTAAACTCTTTGTAAGAGTACTAGCGATACGCCCCTGCTTCGCACAGGTACAATGTTATTATCATACTTAAAAACCTTCCTCTTGAATAAAAAATCCGCCTCAAAATCCGTTGAATAATTTTTAAATATTGAAGTAAGCATACATAGGGACAGACAGTGGAAAGCGACTTTGTTTTATACTATGGAATGATAACAATAATTAGTTTCAGGTATATCTGTAAAAAAATAGCACTTTTCTCCTTCTACAGTACACTCAACTAAAATAAACATTCCGAATATCAAGCGAGGTTAAGCTGTAAATATAAATGATCACAAAGGATAATAATGATGAGAAAATTAATAGCTAGTTCATAATTTCGAGTACATTTTGCTTGAAGTGCATTGTTCAGTCGGACAGCGTAGCTAATAACAGCTGCGAATCAATTACCCGGTGAACTCATTTGTGCGATTGTGTCGGTTCACTATTGTCCTTTGATGAACACAGTTTGACCGACCAGAAAATTGTACGGTTTCATCTGACGAGAAATTGTAGTTCATTTCAATTATGATGAGACAAAGTTCCAAAGTCATTTTACTAAGTTTGAGAGAGAATTTAGTAAAACTTTAACAAATCCCCGATAGCCTTTCTTTGTTTTATTTAGAGCCACTCGTAACACAAGCATATTTAGTTTAACCCAAGGGTTTAACGGGAGTATTACTAAATTGTATTTGCCTAGTATTCTTAATTTTTTTGTAGTAAAATGCTTATTAATTTTAAGTGTGACAAAATTACTACCCTGATATTCACATTAAAAATCGTGTTCATGGAGAGAAAATATTTACAAATATCTACATTCCTGATTTCTGATATTAAAGAACAGTTACAGATTTCTGAGTAAAAGTAGGTATGTTAAACTCCATAAATATGTAGGTAGAGGCGTTGTACGAGTATTATGATAGAAGATACAATAATCCTCACAAACTACAAACTAAATACCCAACCACAGCCCGTTCAACGTGCAAAATTTATCAAAACCGCCGTCCATCTGCCGCTAGAAAAGTTTTAAACGTTCGCAAAGTACGTGACCTTTCACCGGCTCGCTCGGATCATTATAGAGCGCGAACGCTTCGTATTCGTTCACAAAACGTTTTAATTTTAACTACGAATAACTGTACAGTATTAAAAGAAGACATTTGATACTCCAATGTTCTTACTACTGTGTATTCACAGTTCTTGGCACGGACTCAGAAAGTGCTGTAATAGTTTGGATAAGAAAATTTTGCTGCACCTTTTGCGCTGTTTGTACAATTTGAAGAAGCTATCATTTCAGGTATATTTTGTAGTTAAATAGTTTGCTTGCGAAATCAGCTCAGTACTTATCTATTTAAATTGGCAACAGTTTGAGTGACATTATCAGAATTCGTTTTATAGCGTTGCATGCTGGTACTTGTTTTTACGAGAACTCTTAATTTAACTGCCACGTTATATCTACAGTAACTGAGTTTTATTTGGTGTTATAAATATTCAAACACCTACATGTTTATGCAATGAAATGAAAGATGTATTCGTATATGGTAGGATTCATCTTTACAGAGACAGTGGACGTACGTGTAAAGGTGAGTATAGATTACAGCATTTCTATGTAATGTAATTTTCTTACAAATGGTAAAATACAGTTACAATGTAAGACGTTTGGTACGTGAAAGGGTTAATACTAGAACATTTCATACAGCGGCTTGTTGTTCTGTTACTGTAAATGTTCTCTTAGGCCCAGAACACACGGTGAAACGCAATAAAATTGCTACTTTACTCACCTTATGAACGCTTTTTAAAAGCCTAAAAGCAGAAAAAAAAACAGTATTTTCAAATTGAATCATAACTGATATAGATGATATGGCGGGATTAACGTTTTATACAGAATTATTAATAGTACCTACTAGTTAGTGGAGTCTATTCATTAACCAGATAGAAAATATTTTCATAGACCATTAAGCGAATATACATAGACTATGATCTATCTTCATATTTCACTAAAAGACTGCGCAGTTTCGTAGGCTTTAATGGCTGGCGTAAAGTGCACAACTTAATATAATATTGCTTAAGTTTTTCTCTGTTTCTCATTTTTTATATTTTCTTTTAATTAGTTAGGTACTAAAACTTTTTTAGGCTGATGTACAAAAAAAAAACACTATGTACGAGTAAAATGTAGGCAAGAAGATATTGTTCAGTTAGTACTTACAAAAAACAAAAAAGCCTTGGGGTGTGGGGCTTTTTAAATTAGATTAAAAACATTTGGGGAAAAGCTACTGTTGCGAAGGAAACAATAACTTTCCGTTTCAATTCAAGTTGTACAGTCGTAAGAACATCGGGCTCTACATTTTCGTTGCAAAATCGAACTTAACACAACTCCATAAGATACTACAGTTTTCAGCTGTTACATTCCGGTCCAACACTCGGTAATAGGAAATCCTGGAATAACAATATCGTTACTTCGGGATTCGGAACGAGTCCAGGCAATTAGCGGTCCCGTCCAGGGACTTCCGGCGGGTTCCGCTCGTTTCGACGAAATATTTTGGATTTTATAGTCAGGCCAGTTTTATCCGAGTGCCTTTATCTGAATTTTCTATTAAAACTAACAACAACAAAACAAAGACAAAATATACGAGTAAAACGTATTAGTATAGTAGGGAGAGTTCGGTATATTGTACCGCCGGGTAAATTGTACCACCCTCATATTTCGTAAAGTATTTATTGAATGGCTGTAATTGCAACACTCAGCGATACACAACTAAAATCAATTAATATCGGCCATGTGGTTTTTGCCGTGACAACAAACACGTGTGTTTTATTTTCAAAAGTATTTTTTCATTGTTTTCAAGTAACTTTTGACAATACATGTTTAGTTTGTAATTTTGTTAAATTTAATCACAGGGTGTTTCTAATATATTATTTAGAAGCGTAAATTAGTGTGGATTACAATTATTTGAAACATTTTTCGGTATTTATAAGCTATATTTTTTACCGATTTTTTAAAAGCACTATCACCTAGTCGGCTAAATTGTACCACATCAAGTTGTATGGAACTTTACCAAAGGATTTTGAAATTTTTTTTAGTAAATCATATTTTGAAGTTATAATAGCGTAGTTATGTTTGACTAACAATAAATGAAAGCAAAAGACTGGCAAAGTAGATTAGGTACAAGTGTGCGTTACGATAATTGGAATTACAAAACTTGTACTCAAAATCGTGATAACGTGTAAAACAATATCGATTGTCTATGTTATTAACTACTGTTCCTTTTCGTTTCCTAATTTGTTAAGAATGTATCGTATAATATTTTGCCATAGTTTTTTTATAGGCTTGAAATTTATTGAAATCCAATTTAGTAACCCTGTGGTACAAATTATCGAACCGGTTGGCTAAATTGGACCGAAGCTCTGAACTCGTACTTTGTTGATTTGTGCTAAATATACAACAATCATGTTAATTAATACTTATGAAATAGTAAGTTGAATAATGTATCTTTTATTATATACCATGGACATTAGCAAAAACAAAAGAAAACTATGTGTAAAATGGGATTGAAAAAAACTGGTCCAAATTAGCGGACTCTCCCTTATACATCGTCATCCTTAGTAGGTATAGAATCTAGAAACACGTTAATGGAAAACATTAGGTAAAACCAATTTTGGTCGACAGGTCTGCTGATAATTGGTTTAGCATGGTGTTATACTCTTTTTCGTTCAGTTAAGGTTAAAATGAATTATAGTTATTATGTACCTACGTTTGTTTGATAAAGGTTCTTCTTAATCAACATGAGCTTTTTCAAAATTCCGTGCAAGCAAATACGTCCATTCATATAGCGTAGTACCTATCAAACTTCTAGCATAAGTAATAGATTTAAGTTACAGTCCATTGTACAAACACATTTAACTTAATTTTCCAAGTCCTTAGTGATGAGAATTAACCTTTATTTGGTTTCAAAGAGTCTGAAACTTCAATGTTTCAGTATCCTTTTATTTAAGAGATAAGAACTCAATTGACGAGCTGTATTGCCCATCTTCACTTGAAGGGGTTCCCATTGTTTATCCTCAATGAGACGATGGAAACATTTTGGCTCTCCAAAGGTTTTTTCACTGAATAAAGGTTGCTATTTATTAAAGAAAAGGATAACTTATAAACGTTTTATGGAGTAATAATAATTCGTTTATTACATTTTTGTATTGAACAAAATGAAATTAGGTGTAAAGGTTGTATGACTAGACTTAGATTATTATTTACGATAGTTGAAGCTTAAAGGTGAAGGTCGCGGGAAGTACCTGGATGGTGGACCGGTCGTTATGGAAAGCCTTGGGGGAGACCTTTGTCCAGCAGTGGACGTCATTTGGCTGAAACGAACGAAAGCTTAGTCTTTATGATATAGGCCCTTTTCAGGGCGCAACCCCCTCCCAATTTTATGACTACCTAATTTTTTTTTAAAGAAAGAAAGAAAAACATTTATTTGGTTCCAACTTAAAATATAACAATAGACATTTTGACACCACCAGTCAATTGACGTACTTTTTAAAACTATCAAAACGAAACTCTCCCATAGATTTTGTATGGCACAAGCAAGTGACGTCACTATTTTGTCAACTCAATTAAACTACTATTTTCAATTACAATGCTAACAAAAATCGTAATTTACAGGTAATTTAAAATTAATTAAGTTTTTAAGACCAGAATGAAGGGTCTTTTTTAAAAAGTTGCGGTTTCGAATTATTGGGCTATGATGTCAAACTGTCTATTGGTCTACCACCACTTTGAGGCTCATATATGTAGAGAGAAGCAGTGGTAACGAAACTCTGTGTTTGTAATACCAGTGCCTCTACCATGAGTTTACCTACCGAGCATCTCGCTATCGAGGGCGTAAAAAAATGTATGGCAAATTGTACAGCGCCTCTAGCGGTTAGTAGCTGAACCACAGCAAAACTAAAAACACTACCATGAGTTCATCTCAAATCGTTAGGTAAAAAACCTATCTAATTGAATACGATAGCGACTAAAGTTTTTCAAAGATGTCATCGAAAAATACCTTAGCTGTCACAGTAACGTAACTCACTGGCTTATTGACGTGTGAAAAGCAAAATAAAATTGTGGTTTTAGGTCATTTTAGGTGTTTTCTTTATTAAATTATGTCGGAAAGAAGTTTATTACGATGGAACATGTTATCAGCATGTGGGACCCTGACTCTTAGCAGGAGGGATAAGGTGGAAGCCAAGCTGCGGCTTGCGAGGAGGTGTGTGCTGGCTGCCTTTAGCACAGCCCTGGTGGGAGATCACAGGTAAATAAAGACCTTTATTTAATCTAGCTTGCTCGAGAATTGGCTCTAACAGGAGAGACTAGGGGAAGAGCAGCGAGTTTCCCTTAGCACTGCCTTGGTGGGAGTCCACGATTAAATTTAGGACTTGGTCTAATCTAGCTCAGTATAGAATAGGCTCTAATAGGCAGCAGGAGGATAAAGATGGAAGCCAAACTGCGGCTAGCGAGGAGGTGTGTGTTGGCTGCCTTTAGCACAGCCCTGGTGGGAGACCACAGGTAAATGAAGTCCTTCGTATATTCTACTTGATTCTAGGATGTATTTGTCTAGTCTAGCTCAGTTCAGCTCGGACCCTGACTCTTAGCAGGAGGGATAAGGTGGAAGCCAAGCTGCGGCTTGCGAGGAGGTGTGTGCTGGCTGCCTTTAGCACAGCCCTGGTGGGAGATCACAGGTAAATAAAGACCTTTATTTAATCTAGCTTGCTCGAGAATTGGCTCTAACAGGAGAGACTAGGGGAAGAGCAGCGAGTTTCCCTTAGCACTGCCTTGGTGGGAGTCCACGATTAAATTTAGGACTTGGTCTAATCTAGCTCAGTATAGAATAGGCTCTAATAGGCAGCAGGAGGATAAAGATGGAAGCCAAACTGCGGCTAGCGAGGAGGTGTGTGTTGGCTGCCTTTAGCACAGCCCTGGTGGGAGACCACAGGTAAATGAAGTCCTTCGTATATTCTACTTGATTCTAGGATGTATTTGTCTAGTCTAGCTCAGTTCAGCTCGGACCCTGACTCTTAGCAGGAGGGATAAGGTGGAAGCCAAGCTGCGGCTTGCGAGGAGGTGTGTGCTGGCTGCCTTTAGCACAGCCCTGGTGGGAGATCACAGGTAAATAAAGACCTTTATTTAATCTAGCTTGCTCGAGAATTGGCTCTAACAGGAGAGACTAGGGGAAGAGCAGCGAGTTTCCCTTAGCACTGCCTTGGTGGGAGTCCACGATTAAATTTAGGACTTGGTCTAATCTAGCTCAGTATAGAATAGGCTCTAATAGGCAGCAGGAGGATAAAGATGGAAGCCAAACTGCGGCTAGCGAGGAGGTGTGTGTTGGCTGCCTTTAGCACAGCCCTGGTGGGAGACCACAGGTAAATGAAGTCCTTCGTATATTCTACTTGATTCTAGGATGTATTTGTCTAGTCTAGCTCAGTTCAGCTCGGACCCTGACTCTTAGCAGAAGGAATAAGGTGAAAGCCAAGCTGCTGCTAGCGAGGAGGTGTGTGCTGGCTGCCTTCAGCAGAGCCCTGGTGAAAGCCCACAGGTAAATAAAGACCGTTATTTAATCTAGCTTGTTCCAGAATACTCTCACTCACTAGGAAATACTGAGGGAAGAGCAGCAATAGTTTCCCTTAGCACTGCCTTGGTGGGAGTCCACGATTAAATTTAGGACTTGGTCTAATCTAGCTCAGTATAGAATAGGCTCTAATAGCCAGCAGGAGGGATAAGGTGGAAGCCAAGTTACGGCTAGCGAGGAGATATGTGCTGGTTGCCTTCAGCACTGCCCTGGTGGGAGAACACAGGTAAATAAAGGACTTCTAGCTTGCTTCAGAATGGGCTGTAACACTTACCAGGAGAGACTAGGGGAGAAGCAGCGTTGGTGGCATTTAGCACTGCCTTAGTGGGAAACCACAGGTAAAGGCCTTTATCCTAGCTTGCTCTAGAATGGGTGGTTCTAAGACTAGGGGGCTGCCAACCTGCGGTTAGCAAAGAGCAGCGATGATTGCCTTTAGCAACTGCAAAATAAATTCTCTTCTAAGATGATGCACAAAAAAAAGTTCACACAGTTTAAAAGTAGACTACAAAAATATTAAAATAGGTCAAAATATTATGATTGGTTTTATTTCTGGAACTAAATGGATCATTCCACACCCAACTTTAATCTCCAATACCCATACACAAGAAAGTCGAGATTTTTTCAGGAACAGAAACTGCTAGAAAAGTCTAAGTTGGTAGTTTGTTTGAAATAAACCAGGCGTTTTATGTCCCGCGTCCCGCGTAACGAGGGTGGCACGGGAACGGGTTCGGAACTGGCAGCTGTATCTGGGTCTATCGATTGGTTAAAACTTTTACAGTGACTTATTATTAGAGACACTGGAAATAAAGCGACATTGGCCTAGTGGTGTGTGAATTTAGTTTGAAAAGCAGCTTTTAAAGTGTTTTATATTGTACTAGCTTTTGCCCGCGACTTCACCCGCGTGAAATTTAGTTTGTCAGAGATCGTCATAAAATATATAGCCTATATTTTATTCTGGGTTATAAAGAATAATACTGTAAAGTTTTATCAAAAACAAACATCCAAACGCATTTGCATTTATAATATTAGTGGGATTAGTAGAATGCGTAAACTGATTGTAGGAGAATGCCCTAGACAAACAGGGAGTTCGAAAATTTGTGATAAAATTGCGGAAATTATTAATAAAAATAAAACAATCATAATAAAATTAGCTCAATTAGGATCAAATTAGTATTCGAGTTTGTATTCTCAAAATGAACCCAACTTTTAGTTACACTCTACGAGTTTGTCTCGCCCTCTTCAGAACACCCTGTATAGTGTCTATTTAATCATTTAAATTACACAACTTTCGGAGGTTCGACCCGAATCAAAAATATGTAAGGGGATATTACACACAATATAAAAACTTAAAATCTATAAAATTAATTAGTACTATGAAATTCAAGGAACATTTAAACAATCTGCAGCACTTCGTGAGCTGAATACATTTGCAATTAACAAATCAACAATTCAAGTCCGACGCCATGTTGGATCCCGACAATTTATTTATAAGGGAACGGGCACAATCTTGATTAATGCCCATCGGCCGGCTGATACCGATTTCTAATTTGTGTTAAAGGCCCAGCGAATTATTTTTGGTAGACCCATGGCCACAACTGACATAAAAGTTTGCTTTGGAGAAGGACAAAAATTAGTTTTGGCACTATGTATAGGGTCATCAGTTCTAAGATCAGTTTTGGTAAGTTTTAAGCCTTTAAAAGGCAGTGGGACTATAGTTCCCACCATATTTTCTACCTTATTTGTTTATTTGTACCTTAAGGTCCAAAAACAATGAAAATTTTGATTGTATTATGACTGTTAAAGGGTTTACTAAAAAATCTCTTGAGTTAACCTGTTGGGTACATGGTTTAGAACAGAACTTTTTTCTAATTAGAACCTGTTCGTCTACTTCTAGGTAGATATTATCGACAGTATGGAAGTATCTAAAAAAAACTTAGGAGCCCTGTAGGTCCAGTGACTTTTTTTTTGTTTTGATACCACTTTGTTTTTTGTTTTTTTGTTCCTGCTGAAAATGTCAAGTAGCAATCTTATAGAGCTTACTGAGTTTTCTTCCATTGTTGTTTCAGCTGAGCACAGCCTATTCGTCAGGGAAACCTTTGAAGGTTATCGGTACATATTGATCTATCTTAATTTTTTGCTTCGGTAAATTAATAGCAATTGGCGGTTAAATTGTAGATCCTGGTACGGTCAGGTAGTAGGATCGAGATTATTACGAGTATTAACCATTTTTCGGGTGTGCGTGGTTAAACATAAAAAACTATACTAAAGTACGGCCAACGAGAAGCGATACCAAATGTAAACAAACCCAATGTCATGGTCATTTGGAATAGCAGGGGTTTGACTTTGACATATTTTGGCGGAAGAACGAGACATTACGACAAATACACAAGATGGGAAGAGACAGAATAGATTGTCAGTTCGAAAGTCGAATCGACCTTTTGTATCGCTGCTAGTTGGCCGTACTTTATGAAACTATTACATTTTGGATTTATAAAAAACAACTTACCGTAAGAAAGCCATTCCAACGGCTTTATTCTTGAAAAACAGCTCCATGTTAGGTCGACTCCATTTAATTTTATTCATCTGAAATGAAAGAAAAATATTTTCAAATATTACGAATATTTATAGATTGAGATATTAATGAAGACAAAAACATTGTTTGACTTTTGATTTTAACGTGCATCGAGCGTCAAGGGACTTTTCATTCGACTTGTTTTGGATTTGGCGGTGTTGTGAAACTCTGCTCAAAAGATTATAAGCATCTGCGTTCAATTTAAATACCAAATATTCTTTTATGTTAAAAAAAAAAAATGTCGTTACTGATTTCTTTGTCATTAACAAAAATACAAATACTAATTGTCAAAGGCACTTGGGAAAAGCTCAAATACGTTTGCCACCATTGACTGATAATTGAAGAAAATATAGCTAAGTGTTCGGGCGACGATCAATCTTGCTTCACTCGCTCTCGAAACTTGATGGTAAGGTATTTTTATGGCTTAAGCCGGAATATGGCTATATTACAGCAGGTTCATTCTGTATTAGGTTTTGTATACCATGTGGAAATAGTAGGTACAGGATAATTCGTGGCCTTAAAAAAGGTTTTCTTTTAACAGTTAACATTTTGTCATAATAAATGTAATGAGCTCTTTCAATCATCTTATGGGTAATATGTATTATGATTATGAGTAACATAATTTTGCATATGAATAAAAAATCATTCATTACTGATTCAATTGTGAATGTAGCGAGAAATCAGTTCCCACTAAGGTATCTTTAAATACCAAGTTTACAGAAAATCTAAGTACAAGAATTTATGTAGATAATGTTACTGAATTTCTCTACATTATGGCCCCACTTCTCCCGGCACATAACCGGCATAAGGGGTCGTAAGTGGCTTATAAATCAAATTCAATAAATTACTTTTGCTATGAGGTTTTTAATTAGATCGTCGATATTGCGATCGAGATGATGCTAATGATTAAAAGCAAATTCAACTCGTTTGACTTGATCTATAGTGTATTCTTTTCACCCAACAGGTTCTGTAGGTATTCGATTGTTATAAAAAAATACTAAAAAAAATATAAAACTGAATAATAACTTGAATAAATGGGTCCCATATTACCCTATTTGCCGTTTCATAGGTACATTTTAGGAATCCCTCCTGCAGGAATAACAAATTTATTTTCCTTTACAGGGTAAAACCAAGAAAGATCACCCGCCACGAGAGCACAGACGAGATCCTGGCCAGCGTCAAATCTGGCAACTACTGGCGGAACAACACCAAGCCAGACATCATACCTTCCACCTCCATCCAGGATATCACCAAAGACGAGCTTCCCAGAGTCAGAAGACGGTCCCGTAGAAGCCGTCACGTCACTTCCTATGGGTTTCCAGAAATTTCCTTGACAGACCAAGGGGATACGAAGACCATGAGGCGGAAGTACCATACGCTGAAGAGTTTGGTGTACACGGAGCCGGTGGAAAGTATTAGAGAGTTGAGGGAAAGGCCCCGGTCTGCTGGGTCTACTGTCAGGAATAAGGAGGTGCTGACCAGGCCTAGCCTTTTGGAGACTCTGGACTTCATTAATAGCGTGAAGGATGCGTTGTGCGGTAAGGATATCTTTTATTTATAGGATAACTACCTTCTTGTTTTTTATCGGTGCATCAGCAAAGTAGTTCTTAGTCGTGAAAGTAGTCTTCTAGGAAAGACATTGTATAAACCTTCCATGAAACTTGTTTGTGTTATTTGCCGAGAGATGTCACTGCTCTTTGAGACGCGTAAAGCTGTACCGCGGTGTCCAGATTTTTTCCCCCGGCTTTGTATACCTGGAGTATTTTGACATCTGTTACCCTTTGTGAACCATTGACAACCTGTGTCAAGCAATAAATTGTCACCTACATATTGACGTCTTATTTATACCTAGATAAGAGTCCCTTAAGTGCGCCGAGAGTATCCGTATTCCGTGGTTAATTCAGACATGAATGTTTATTGTCTAGTGGAAGAATCTGGAGCGTCAGATGCTGAAGACACAGGCTGGTCTGCGCAAGAGGAATGGCTGGCTGGGCAGACAGCACCTCTGAACTTGCTGGTGGCAAGGTCGGGGTCGCACACGCTCCACCTGCTGCTAGGCGACTTGGTGCTAGCTTTGCTACAGAGGGGAAGGTTTACAGTAAGTACTTATTTGGATTGTAAGATTTCCCAGTAGAATATACTATCGACTGTTTTGATAGTCAGAAATACAGCACAATAATTGTAATCAAGCACTTCCTATATGGTATTTTTAGTAAGGTAATTAGGGCTTGCACGCACGGGCGGTTTTTGTCGCGCGAGCCCTTACTATAGCTCAGATAAATTGACAAAATTCAGTGTGAATAGTAACGATTAATGTCAGAAGCAATAACCATGATCAGTTTGAAGCTATTGTAGAAAATGTCTCAATTTCGATCTAATACGTGAGAAATCAGAGTTTACAGAAACATCACCTAAAAACTACCACCTTCCAATTCTTCTTCCAAGTCTTGTGACCTTCCAGATTCTTCAAGAACTATGCTCGTGGCTCGGCGACGCCAGTGAAGGCGCGTTGTTCGCGTTACACCGTCTAGCGCGGGCTGCTCGGTCGAGGAGCAGTGAAAGGGCCACTACGTGAGTAGCGTGTAATAATATAGCGTGTAAGCTTAGCAAAAATATAGGATCTACCAGATATAGGATATAATATTATGTATGTATTTTGTTTGTTGTTCCTAACAAAAAAAAATTTTTTTAAGTTCCCAACTCAACCTACATGTTGCTATAAATAAAAGTTCCTGCATAGCAATTATGATTAATCTTTTAGGTCATGGAAGCTTCCAGAAGCAGAAGGAACAGCTCCAGCACCGCCACAAAAGTACAGCGTCCGTTCTCCGGACTACATATCTGGAGATGAGGGACCACCACCACCCCCGCCTCTGCCCAGGCATAGCAGCAGACACAAACAGGTACAGTTGTATGATTGCTGCTGGATTATGAAAACTTCTTGAAACCGATGGAAGAGGAGAGCTACTACGAAACGCTGTTTACATAGTTTCGGTTCTATCTGTCACCGTCGCTCTTACTGGCACCTCGCTTTGCGTGAGAGAGATGGCAACATTCGAAGCTTCGGATAACGTTTTTCGGAGTAACCCCGCAATCATGGAAGCTTCTAGAAGCCGAAGGAATAGTTCCAGCTCCGCCACAGAAGTACAGCGTCCGCTCTCCGGACTATGTGTCCGGGGATGAGGGGCCACCACCACCACCGCCTCTGCCCAGGCATAGCAGCAGGCACAAACAAGTACAGTTGTATGATTGCTGCTGGATTATGAAAACTTCTAGAAGCCGAAGGAACAGTACTACGAAACGCTGTCTGCGTAGTTTTGGTTCTATCTGTCACCGTCGCTCATACTGGCACCTCGCTTTGCGTGAGAGAGATGGCAACATTCAAAACTTCGGATAACGTTTTTCGGAGTAACCCCGCAATCATGGAAGCTTCCAGAAGCCGAAGGAATAGTTCCAGCACCACCACAGAAGTACAGCGTCCGTTCTCCGGACTACGTGTCCGGGGACGAAGGGCCACCACCGCCTCCACCACTGCCCAGGCATAGCAGCAGGCACAAACAGGTATAGTTTATTAATGATCCCTGCTGGATTATGAAAACTTCTAGAAGCCGAAGGAACAGGAGAGCTCCTATGAAACGCTGTTTACGTAATTTCGGTTCTATCTGTCACCGTCGCTCATACTGGCATCTCGCTTTGCGTGAGAGGGATGGCAACATTCGAAACTTCGGATAACGTTTTTCGGAGTAGCCCCACACCTCCAGCTCCGCTACAGAAGTACAGCGTCCGCTCTCCGGGCTACGTATCAGGGGATGAAGAGCCACCACCGCCGCTGCCCAGGCATAGCAGCAGGCACAAACAGGTATAGTGTTGAACGTCCACTGTTAAATTGTGGAAACTTCCAGAATTGACACTTTCAAAGTCAAGGAAGTACTGCTTCCACTCGAAAGAATTTGTGTCTGAAGACGAGGCCAACCATCATGCCTGCTGCTGAAGGATAGCAGCTACCAAAAGGTAAAGTTTTATGGAAGCTTCCAGAAGTAAAGGTATAGAAGCAATTGTATACTCATCTACAGGGAAAATACGAAAGATTTTCCCTAAAGATGAGGATACAGTGCCGCTAATGCCCAGGGTGTAGCACTAGGTACNGTAGGTACAAATAAGTACAGTTGTACGATCAGGTCACAGTTAGGTCGAGGTTACTGCCCAGGTATAGCAACAGGTACAAATAGATTTTTCAGTTTACAGAAACTTCTAGAAAAGATGGTATAGTCCAATCAATCCTTTGTCTAGTTTGTACGTAGAAAAGCACTCTCTTACATTATGAATATAATAAATTCTGATATAAAACTTTAAGTGAGTTGAGCTCACGTCGTCGCTTGGAAATACTTCTAAATGTGCCTCGAGTCCTAAGCTCGTGTTCTTAACTTGTTTACTTGCAGTTTGTTACGACGTTGCTTGTTTAGAACTTTAAATCCGACGGAGATATGAATAATTTAGAATTCACAGTCGCATTTCGTTCACATAATTCAAGTCGTAAAGGATTCCTAAAGTTTATTCGTGTAGTACATACGCATTACTACGTGGCTTTAATGTAAATTGTAGAAATTACAGTATATACAGGATGAAATAAAATTATTAGCATCTCTTTATTATAAGACTATTCATGTTACATATTTGGGGAATGTTATGTATCATGAGTGGAGTCTTATTTTAAAAGGATGCTAACGTCTTAAACTTCACCATGTAGATAGATAGATAGATATGTTAATAAATTCAATAATTGTTCACATCTATTCCATTCCTGGGTAAAATTGTGACTCAATCCTGGGAATAAATGATGTAGGTACACTGTAACCTGTGTCGCGAATCAGAAAATTACAGAAGTTGATGAAATCACAAAGGTAGAGCAAAAATACAATTGGACAACAAAGGTGCGCCAATCTCATACAATTGCCTTGACCGGATCTGCGACGGAAAAATGGACGATGAAATGTGAATGTGAGATTGGCAAAGTGGACTTCTTAAATTGGATATACCTTATATCATTTAGTATTAATTTCAAATAACAATCTGCACGTATATTTGACGATAGTAGTTACACACATACAAGACATATCGTGGCTTAAGTTCTAACAACGCGCAACGCGTAAACCTTAGAAAAATTAGTTATATTTCTTCTTCTTCCTCGGTCCCTCACTGATGAGGATCGCGACCACAGATAGTGTTCCTCCACAGACTGCGGTCATAAGCTGTGTGGACCGCACGATGCAAACTCCCGCCCACCGTCTTCCTCACCGCGTCCGACCATCTCGTCGGTGCCCTGCCCCAAGCACGTCTGCCTTCCATTTGTCCCAAGATAATTTGTTTCTCCAGACAATGCCTTGGAGTTACATTTCAGAAGGGCAAAAAACCTAGATTTTTTTCCTACACATTAGTACTGCACCATTTCTCTTACTCAGTGAGTCTCACTTGGAAGTAAGTTTCTCGTTTCTTACTAGCCCCATCGATGCGGCTTTCGATTCCCTAACAAAGGTATTAACATCTCAAAACCCCCTAAAATGCGTATTGCGTATGTATGTTAGAGCACGTGTAAGAACTTAAGCTACGACTTACACAATGATTCTATTGTGCGAGTAAGGGCGTAGGCTTTCTCAATAACTACCAAAGAGAATTTGTCGAGAAAAACTCAATAATAATAACAGCAATAGAATTTAAAATCAATTTTTTTACAGGTCCAAACGCGCTACCCAGACTTCCACCCACCAAATCGTCTCCAGCCTCTAGACTTAACCTACAAAAACCTCGACCAGCACTCCAACCGTTCCCAAGAATACACGGGCATCATCAACCCCATATACGACATCAAAATACCCCGGGACAAATTTAGGGTTAAGAGATCAAAATCTCTCGGTCGAAGTTTCAGTAACAAAAACCTTAACTTGGAAATCACCAGGTACAATATAACTCTAGGACATAAAAGTGGGAGGAGAACCAATGATGTGGTGACTGCAATCACTGGAATGACTGGGGAGACGGGTTTGGAGCCTAAGAGTAATTTCTTCCAGCGGTTTAGCACGGCTGAGGTGGTGGGCGACTCGTACAAGATTAGTAGGGCCACTATTGATTAAATAAAAATAAATCAATTGAAATTCCGCTGCAGGCGTATTCCAGAGTAGTGAATTACTAATTATTAGAAGAATCTTCTGTAAGAGGTTTTATTAGACAATGGCGAAAGATAGAGTTTAGAAACATTACTAACAATGTTAAAATAACATAAAAAGGTTCTCTATATTTGTTATTATGTGTAGCCAAAGATGATTGTTCTAACCATTTGTGTAGTTTCATAGACTTCAGAATTGACCAAGGTGTTATTAATAAAGTTATTGATTTCAATATTTTATAATATTTGTTATTATTAAAGAAAATTTAGAGAAAATACGATTTTCAGGACTTAGTTGGTACTTAATATTGTTATTTTTGATCACGTGCTTAATAAATTAAATCTGACTAATAACTGAATAAGAAAATGTTTTATTTTAATCTATGTCCTTTATTTATTAATTAAAAATAAGGGTAAAAAGCTAGACAACTGTATCAAATATCCAACTATAAGTTCGCGAACTCAAAACTTTGTGGAACCACTTTTCAAAGGGCGAGTAAGAAGTTAGCAACTTATGCGGGGTAGCACGTACTTTTAGAATCAGTTTATACTGAGTAGGTTCACTCTTCATGGGTTGGGTTGTGTATAGTATATATAAGTAGGTAATATAATATTATAGGTGCCATGTTCGGCCGTTTGGTTTGGTGTAGTAGTTCTAAATGTCAAGTCTTCGATTGATTCGAAGAAATTGAAATGATGAATTATAATTTATAATTTCTGTGACGGGTCTGGATGTTACTATTTATGTATTTAATTTAAAAAGTATATCCGTTAAGCTAGCACCCATAACCCATCTGTCTGTCTGTCTTAAAAAGTTTTGTCTCTACTGAAAAGTTTGATAGTTTGCAACCACAGATCACAGAAACTAAAGGGAGACAAGTGGGCGGGGCCGGTGTCGCAGCAATATGCCCAAAAACAGAACACATTGCTGCAGACGTCATAATGTAAACAATTTACATTGCTTGCATAGTACTAAAGATTACTCGAACGTTGCGTACTGATACCGCAGTGGATAATGAGCAAATATTTTGATTAAAGTTCCAAAATACTGAACTGTCCTATGCATGACATTGACAGTGGGGCGCCACCGTCAATACCGGATCGCTGGTTCCGATTTTTGCCATTTTGGAAACCATATAGTTGAACGATGGTAGCGCCCCCCTGTCATTGAGTTTGATGGGACAGTTCAGCGTGGGTCATCTATACTTTGTGTGTGACAATTTCTAATGCGACACTGAGTTTCGAATTATTATTATTATTATTATAATAAATCATAGTTGATAACTATATTTAGACTGAATAATATTGTAATTCGCATCTATTACCTGCTTATACATAAGGCACTACATCAATGAGCCTATCAATGGAAATAACGCGAGCAACTTACTGTATCTACTGTAAAGAAGAGACATTTCTGTATCAGTTTCTGTTGGTAGCAAGTTTGCTACATTATCGGGGGACGCGACACGCAGCGATCGGGTAACTAAGTGCGGCCCTCAATTATGTCTGCGTTACTTTTTTATCTTTATTTTACATTTTTCAGGATCTATCCAGCTGAAACTTAATACCCTTTACATTATGATGTGTTTATAAAATTCCGCAAAGAGTTTAATCTATCCATAAAATCGNTAATTAATTGAAATTCCGCGGAAGTTGTATTGCAGAGTAGTGAATTACTAATTATTAGAAGAATCTTCAGTGAGAGGTTTTATTAGACAATGGCGAAAGATGGAGTTTAGAAACATTACTAACAATGTTAAAATAACATAAAAAGGTTCTCTATATTTGTTATTATGTGTAGCCAAAGATGATTGTTCTAACCATTTTGTAGATTCATAGACTTCAGAATTGACCAAGGTGTTATTAATAAAGTTATTGATTTCAATATTTTATAATATTTGTTATTATTATAGGAAATTTAGAGAAAATATGATTTTCATGAATTAGTTAGTACTTAATATTGTTATTTTTGATCACGTGCTTAATAAATTAAATGAACTATACTGAGTAACAAAATGTTTTATTTTCATCTATGTCCTTTATTTATCAATTAAAAATATGGGTGAAAAGCTAGACAACTGTATCAAATATCCAACTATAAGTTCGCGAACTCAAAACTTTAGGTGAAACCACTTTTCAAAGGGCGAGTAAGAAGTTTGCAACTTATCCGGGGTGGCACGGACTTTTAGAATCAGTTATACTGAGTAGGATCACTCTTCATGGGTTACTATGTATAATCTAAATAGGTAAGCAGCGCAGGACCGTTCATTGTGGAAAACCTTGGAGGAGGCCTTTGTCCAGCAGTGGACGTCATTCGGCTGAAACGAACGAACGAACGAAGTAGGTAATATAATATGATAGGTGCCATTTTCGGGCGTTTGGTGTTGTGGTTCTAAAACGGACTACTATTCCGAGAGGTCCCGGGTTCGATAACGGTCCCGGGTAACACAAGTAATTGCTTACTTTGAGGCGATAGCTTTGTGTGAAATTTTCCAAAGATGTCTGTCTGAAAATGCCTCGTAAATCACACTCAGTTTCAAAAAGTTTTTGTCTCTACTGAAAAGTTTGATAGTTTGCAGCAATAAAGTATCACAACATAATAATGTAGGTAGACTGACTAATATTTTAATTCCCATCCATTACCTGCTTATACATAAGGCACCTCATCAATGAGCCTATTAATGGAAATAAAGCGTGCAACAGATTACTGTATCCGAGAAGAGACATTTCTGTATCAGTTTCTGTTGCCAAGTTTGCTACATTATTGGGGGACGCGATACGCAGCGATCGGGTTACTAAGTGCGGCCCTCAATTATGTCTACGTTACTTTTTTATCTTTATTTTAAAATTTTCAGGATCTATCCAGCTGAAACTTAATACCCTTTACATTATGATGTGTTTATAAAATTCCACAAAGAGTTTAATCTATCCATAAAATCGCCTACTCACAAGTTACTTCATTTCCATGACGATAATTCAAGAAAAGTAAACAAGTACTAATGCACAGTTTAATAGACTAATAGATTATGTAGGACTTCATATTGGGTCTCGTTTGTGGCAGGGAACGGGTTAAGGTAATGTGGCATTATTTGAAAGTAAGAACACGAGTATCTTAATAAGAAAGTCAAAATGTACACAGAAGTATTTCGGAATCGTAAGGTAACATTCTTCGTATCAAAGATTAATCCCAAATTCTAGCATTAAGTAACCCTGTAACAGGCTGACTAATTGATAACACGCCAGACGTGAAATTATGCTTAAACGTGGCGCCTGTAGGGTAGTTCATAAATAAGCAAGCCTTCGAAAGCGGGCTATAGTGTACTTATGGTTGAAACGGTAGCTTCTTATATTATAATAATTAATAAAAATCTTTCTATCATTCCAATTTGCCAACAGTAAACATTTTTGGTCGCTTGTCGACTCCACAACAATGCTGTTAACACCTTAATTAATTATGTTAGCCTTTAATTAAGACAACACATAGTTGTAAGCACTTTTAGTTATACCACAACTGTTATACTAATTCCATGTATGCGTGTTTGTCTTGTTGGTTGTCCTAATAAATAAAATAAATAAATAAACATTGTTGTTATGGCGGCAGACTTAGGTAATAATATTATACATCAAAAATTAAACCATGACTTCATGTCACGTGAAGTCTCCGTTTAGAGTTACTTTATTATAAAGAGGGGCAAGTTGTCCTAATAAAAGGACTGAAAACAGAAATAAGGTTATTTGTTATTGAGTTACGTCAAGAGCAAATACTTACTCGTGTGTGCGAGTATATTTGCGTCTACATACTATAATATGACAACAAAACTAGATGCAGTAGGCCAGGGCTGCCAAAGTTATGAGAAAAAAAAATTTTTTTTCAGCAAACATACCTATCATAAAACCAAAATTTGTGATGTAACGTTAAGAGGCACTTCCAAAGTCTTTTCCGTCTTCTGTGTCATTTTAAATTATAATCTTAATACTACAAAGATACATAATATCTAAACATTATACATATTGCCCCAGTTCTTTGGTAATAATTTTCTTTCCCATTAATATTTTTACGTTTAGTATCCCCTACAAAATCCAGTTCGCACATCCTTGGTACCTCTCAGACTGTAAAATTGATACATGTGAGCATATTTACAACGTGACTACTACGCCTGGGTCTATTGTGCCCCGAACACAATGGCCCGTGCGCGTCACGTGGCGGCGAACGTGTTATTGGTAGATTGGATAAAGAACGTGCGAGAGCGCTCGCTCGTCGCTCGGTGACCGTGAGTGATGGGCTAGAACGTATGAAAGGCAGGACTAATGTTGGCATGTTCGCCGTTAAATAGAATAAAGTCAGCTTCGTGATGTTCGTAGAATGGTAGACTCAAAGTACGTGTACACTAATGTTTGATGATTCGATAACCACTGAAATCTACGAGTAGACTTGTGTTTCTTGATATATTTAGACCTTTAGAGCATTTTTGTTAGTACGTTACCAACGGGTTACTTGAGTTGTGAATCTTCAAGAATTGTGTATTCAAATGTAACTAGGTTTTTCTGTAGTGGCGCTAGTAGGTACAAGGTCTGCTTAGTTTAGGGTTAATTAATTGAAAAAGAAAGGTATTTTTTATGTTTAAATTGGAAACTTTAAGGGTAGTGATGTGAATTGTTATGATTTTTTTTAATAAATTACACAATCTTAGGCCTCATTACGTAATTTACATCAAATGATTTAAGAAGAAAATTGCGAAGTTTAATTCCACAACAGCGATGTCTTTACTTGCAGTAAAACAACCGCACAACATTTACTAGCGTTAAATTAAACGTTTCTACAAAAAGGCTATGAAACTACGTACTCTCTTTTAATAGTTTTCCTTAAGTCAATAAAAACGATTGCAATCGGTTTCGCCAACCTCAAATATTTATTCGAACGGATGGTTAATTAAAAAATCGTCTTTTAGTACGAGCCAACTCCGACATTAAAATCCTGACTTTCCGGAATCTTTAGTCTGTGACGATTTTCTATCGAGCTTATCGATATCTAGGTTTATCTTAAAATTTTTGTTCAGCAACATTTTTATTTCAGGTTCATATGAATTTTTTTATCCTTTGTT